AAAAAATGTAAATTTTCAGTTGACCTGGACTCTTAAGCTAAGGAAATAACTAATCTTTGGCGGCCATTCTCTCACTAATTTTACCTCCTTCATTAGCAAATATCTCGACTTGTATTCAAGATAAATGGATATTTTTAAATCCAAATAAAGACAAGTGAACAAGCTTTAAGATGATACCAATAACTCTACATGCTCAAAAATTGACGAGAGCCTGATTCCACCACGCTGCCTAACAATTGTCCTTCTAATCCCATTTCCTTGGTTCAATAGAAATCCCCACATACTCACACGAGTTGGGCACTTGATAGGATGACAAATCGCCATATATCTCTCTACTGTGAAGGCGGTGATGGTGAGTATAGACACATAACTTGACGCCTCTGAAGCCAGCAGTCGGAAGCGACAAAAGGCTTCTCCGAACACATACGGGTAGGATGACCAGGTGGAATAAATCTCCTGCGGGAGGCCCAGGAGAAGCAGGAGTAGGTCCGAGACTGACAGGTTGAACAGGTAATAGTTGGTCACAGTGCCCATGTATCTTAGTAAATTTGGAAAGAAAATCTTGATTACGGTCTTGACAAATCATTATAAACTAGGCTAACATGAATCTTAGTAAATTTGAAAAGGAAATCTTGATTACAGTCTTGACAAACCATTAAAAACCTGGCTAAGACGTAACAATGATAATTATGCACGTAATAAGCTATTGGGCACTACCATACGCATGTAGCTCTACTTATTAGATGGCGTCAATTTAATTGAAATGGGCAAGGGACCAAGAGTGGATTATGTAGGTAGGGAAACGGAGGATAGGAAAGTTGAGAGTTAGCTTATATTCTTTTTGTTTTCTGAATTTGTGTAGAAAGTTGCACATTGGAAAGGACAACAGCTTATTTGAATTTGTAACAAAGACGAAGCTTGTTTTTGAGTAACTTCTTTCCCGAGTACTTTCACTACAAAAAAATCGATGCCATATAATTTGACAATTGTTTTTGCTTTTTGAGAGACTTTATTCTGAACGTTTTCGCATAAAATCATTTAAAAAACAAATTTGGCCAATTTTAAAAAAAATCTATCTATCTATCTATCTATCTATCTATCTATCTATCTATCTATCTATCTATCTATCTATCTATCTATCTATCTATCTATCGACCTATCGACCTATCGACCTATCGATCTATCGATCTATCTATCTATCTATCTATCTATCTATCTATCTATCTATCTATCTATCTATCTATCTATCTATCTATCTATCTATTCGTGACGTAATAAACTTCGACTGACTTACTTGTTTCTGATGATGACGAAGCATGTGCAGACATTGCCGATAATGCCGGTGATGAAGATGATGGCGTAGATGACGGTGAGAGGCACAACTGTGGGCAAGTCGGCTCGCTTAGGACCGAGGTCTGGTGGTCGGAACACACACTCGATGAAGGCAGACTGTGAAAAGGGAAGACATAAATATTTATTTGAAGAGGGCCAATACGAAGGGATGTTCTTAATTCATTTTTTATGACAGATGCATTGAGGCATTATGGTGAAATCAGGCGGTCGTCATAATAATGTAAACGAAACAATCGGCACTGTTCCACCAGTTTGGTAATTTTTATCGAATTATCCATATCCAAACACATCTCCATGTGAATTTTACTGAAAAACATTGATTAAAGGCACCAAATAATATTTAATTTTTGAGTTTTCCAGGACTCTCAAGCAGTTGGAGTTACCAAACTTGTGCGGCCATTTTCTTGCTTATCAAACCAATGGCCGCACCTCCTTCAATCGCAACTATCTCGACTTCTGTAATAGATAGATGTTGTTTGTTTGTTTTTTCTTCATGAAAATCCATGCAAATAAATAAGCTTTCAGGTGATACCAATAGTTCCTCGTGCCCAAAAATTGACGAGCGCCTGATTTCATCGCGTCGTGACACATTTATTTCCAATGCTGAAAAAGCGGCGTAACGTATACTTATTTTCACGACAAAACAGGTGTTCAAGAACTTAGTAAAAAGAACATTATGGTCCTAATTGGCCTTGGTTTATTGCAATGACATACTCATAATGGATATCAGTCTGAGGGTTATACAACAGACGATGCATGTTTGTGGGCTCATTCATGAAATGTAAACTGCACTTACGATGCTAGATATTGATCATGGAAAATCCCAGGAGGAAAAAAGAGAACAGCATCGAGAAAGGGTGGCGTTGAAATAATACTACAGTAATTTGACTGAATCCCCTTCTCCTTTGTTCTTCTCAAATAGCATAATTTTGAGTGACGCTGAAATGAGGTGGGACCGGTAAATCTAGCCATTTTTTTAATCCCTTGATCCAGTGCTTAAGGAAACGACACCCTCAGCCACGTTTTATCCGTATAGCTGCTTTTCGATTATTAGATAATCACCCAATATTGCCTTATTTGCTGTCCAGTCGAAGCCCCTACACTATTTTTTTGTCTTTGTTGAGGGCTTCGGACCGTACCGTTAATTTTATGAGGTCAAATTGAAATTTGCTTGTGTCGTACATTTTGGTTGAATAATAAAGAAAACCCCAACAAATACGGTAAACAAAAACATTATTTTTTATCGTGCGTTTTATGATTGAAGCTGAATATGCATGCTGATATCATTGTTTCAGAATGCTATAATATCTGCTGGGGTAACAATATAGAATAGCTTGTAAAACGCTTAGAGCTTGCCGTTGAGCGGGAATTTACGATATACAAATGTTATCATTTATTATAACATCCTGGGGGCTATTTGATCTAAATTTGTCAGAGACTAATCAAACTTCCTCAATACAATTTTCTCAACTATTGACGCTTGTACTACTACTACTACTACTACTACTACTATTACTACTACTACTACTACTACTACTACTACTACTACTACTACTACTACTACTA